ATGCCTCACACAAAAGAGCTCTCAGAAGACCTACAATTAACCCCTTAAAGACACATGATGGAAATATTCTGTCATGATTCCCTTTTATTCCAGAAATTGTGTCCTTAAGGGGTTAAGAATTGTTGACTTGCATAAATCTCCAAAAGCCTTGCTGTTGATCAGTCCACGGTAAGACAAATTGTCTATAAATGGAGAAAGTTCAGCACTACTGCTACTCTCCCTAGGAGTGGCCGTCCTGTAAAGATGACTGCAAGAGCACAGCGCAGACTGCTCAATGAGGTGAAGAAGAATCCTAGAGTGTCAGCTAAAGACTTACAAAAGTCACTGGCAAATGCTAACATCCCTGTTAGCGAATCTACAATACGTAAAACACTAAACAAGAATGGATTTCATGGGAGGATACCACAGAGGAAGCCACTGCTGTCCAAACAAAACATTGCTGCACGTTTACAGTTTGCACAAGAGCACCTGGATGTTCCACAGCAGTACTGGCAAAATATTCTGTGGATAGATGAAACCAAAGTTGAGTTGTTTGGAAGAAACACACAACACTATGTGTGGCGAAAAAAAGGCACAGCACACCAACATCAAAACCTCATCCCAACTGTGAAATATGGTTGTGGGGGCATCATTGTTTGGGGCTGCTTTGCTGCATCAGGGCCTGGATGGATTGCTATCATCGAAGGAAAAATTAATTCCCAAGTTTATCAAGACATTTTGCAGGAGAATTTAAGGCCATCTGTCTACCAGCTGAAGCTCAACAGAAGATGGGTGTTGCAACAGGACAATGACCCAAAGCATAGAAGTAAATCAACAACAGAATGGCTTAAACAGAAGAAAATACGCCTTCTGAAGTGGCCCAGTCAGAGTCCTGACCTCAACCCGATTGAGATGCTGTGGCATGACCTCAAGAAAGCGATTCACACCAGACATCCCAAGAATATTGCTGAACTGAAACAGTTCTGTAAAGAGGAATGGTCAAGAATTACTCCTGACCGTTGTGCACGTCTGATCTGCAACTACAGGAAACGTTTGGTTGAAGTTATTGCTGCCAAAGGAGGTTCAACCAGTTATTAAATCCAAGGGTTCACATACTTTTTCCACCTGCACTGTGAATGTTTACATGGTGTGTTCAATAAAAACATGGCAACATTTCATTCTTTGTGTGTTATTAGTTTAAGCAGACTGTGATTGTCTATTGTTGTGACTTAGATGATGATCAGATCACATTTTATGACCAATTTGTGCAGAAATCCATATCATTCCAAACGGTTCACGTACTTTTTCTTGCAACTGTAAAATAACAGATTGAATCAAGTCATACATGATGAGTAATAGTACAGTACGTTGCATTTCTATGGTGGAGCACACTTTTAGAATGTAGTGTAATGAACATGTTTAGGTGATCATGTCTAAGTAACTGAGAAAAACAAAATATTCAAACAGAAGAAAAATACTAGACATGATGAATAATAGATAAATAACATACTTGATTAACTTGACTAGCATATAAGATTTTCACTGGAACTAGAGACAGTGCTATACTGCTGCACTACACTAGAGTGAAATAAAAAGATATAAGAAAAAAAATGCTAATAATAACTAGTCGCAGATCAAATAAAACAAAATGTTATCCACCGACATTAAGTGTGATGGGGGACCCGGAGCCCGGATCAGCTGACCCCATAACCAGCAAGATTGTAGTGCTGTTGGAAAGCGCATTGCGTTCCCTTTCAGCCCCAGACCTGTATGAGAGACAGCATCCATAGTCCACAGAGTTGGAGACTCCCGGGTACCAAGTCCTTCCCCATTCTGGGGTAATTGGAAGATCTAGATGTTGCTTGCTGCTTTTGGTGTTTGATCTCCAACGCATGTGGTTGATGCAATGAGGCTAAGCCTTGTGAGGTTCTCGGCCCAGGTAGGCTGACAACATGATGGGTAGGTGTTTGCTGTGTTTAGTGTGCTTCTCCAAAATTCTTCCCGTAGTCCAGAGGGAGACTGTTTCCCGCTCATACAGCTTGAGCCAGAAGCTCCTAAAGATCTCATCCAGCCTTAAGAGGGTATAGTCAATAGAGTTGCAATGAGGCCGCTGGGATAGGCTCAGGCCCTACGAGATAGATGATACAGCCTCCACCATCTTGTATGGTCAAAGTATTTGAGGTGTAACTAGAGTATAGCCCACTATAAAGTTAAGTGCGGCTTATATTAACAGAGTCAGTCCAGTGAAGGCCGCGATATCCCCTGCCGGTCCAGTGGGGAGATAGGAATAAAACGGGATTGTACTACAAACTGAAGTGTGAGGCGATCAGGCACCTGATTAGTAGGCCGCAATGGAGTTTTCACGTTCTCTGTGGATTTAAAGCACAGTTAAGGTTCTGTCTGGTCGTCTGGGGACCCACAACTTAATGCCTATGAATACTTAAAATAGCTTGTTGGTCCGGGAATAGCACCCCCAAGTGAATTATATAGGAGCTTGTGCACTACACGTCAAAGGTTAAGCTCTGCCACCACCCCCCCCCCCCACAATACTCCTGATTTGTTTCTTGTCTCACTCTTAGTCATTTCCCAACACCAATATCCTTTTTGTTTTCTTCTAAAGCACCAATAATGACTGTCAAGTGCAGAGCAAATAAATACAGAAAATTACTACTAACAAAGAATGTTGCCCTATATTCTTTTTCATTATGTTTGACTACAGGGCTAACTCTGTTTTTGTTTTGAATAAATAATCTTCCTCTGCATGCATCACGATAACAATAATGCCTGGACTTGCTCCATGATATAAGTGGACACGTGTATAGTGAGAATGGATGGGATGAGTTAATACATTAATACATTTCTTGTACACAATGTGTATTTGGTGCATTGTGGAGTTGGCATGCATGTGTGATAGGATGTGCTAGACCAGGGGTACAGAAAAGGTAGATGCCCAGATGTTTTAAAATGACAGCTTCCATGATGCTTTGCCATTCTAAAGATATTCTAAAGGCATGAAAAGCTTAATGGCAGTTGTAGTTCTACAACATCCTGGAATCTACCTTTTCAGCACCCATGTGCTAGATCCATTACTTCTGTTCCAGAGCTTTACTGCTCGTTATCAGCTTTTGGGAACGTGAGTCAAATGTCATTGTTTAATCATAACTTGTATATCTTTGTACATTGCACACAAGATGCATTAGATACAAGAGGCTTTGGCTTTCTAAAGTATGTTGATTCACCAAGGAGTAGTGGCATTAATGTCATAGGAGCAAATTGCACTCTACTGGCAATGTATTCACTTAAAACCTGCTTATTAGGAAAGAGGAATGGAACCGAGCCTGGACCTCTTTATACCTGTTTATTATTATTTATTTATTTTTCTGCATAAGTATCCAGTGGGTATATTTATTCATGACAGCAAATCAAAATGCCCATTTCTATAGCAATATGGCTGCTGTGATATAGCATTGAAAGTAATTTTAAACAAATTGTGGTTGCAGGTTCAGCAGAATTTTTCTCATCCAATTGGGCATCATAAATGGAAGGCCATTTAAGCAGGGCTCTTAACACCTCTTGTTCCTGTATGGTCAATTTATATTATCTACATATTATACAGCACTATGGAATATGTTTGCATTTTAAATAATAATATAATAATAAGAGTACATCTTTCATATTTTTCAGCTTGGCATCAATTCAGGCTTTCGCCAACAACAGTGCATATTATTTTTATGTGACAGGCACATATTAACTGTATAAATAGCCAGCTTAATTAAATACTCAGACATTCACATGTTGTTGCAAAGGTGGATAAGCAGCAAGTACGCTGCAAAAATGCACCTCCTTCATTGGCTAGTGTTGTTTAGAAGAGAAAAAAAACAAAAAACACTGTACTTCACAGGAAAGAACAAAGAGGTTCCCACGGACAGAAGAGGTGATGTGTCACAGCTGTTTGCTTGGTGTGGTATTTGTAAAGAGCTGACGTGGCGTGAGCTGAAAGTCATGGTGATGACTCATCTTCCAAACATAAGATTGCTCATTGGTGCCTGAACTTTCGTTACTTACAGGGCTGTGCTCATAAAAAAACATATGACTATATAGTTAATTCATTTGTGTAAATATAATATTCACTTTAGAATTGTTTACCCTACTTTAGTGGTCCTACCCAAACCAAAGTAGTTCATGTATTGTGGATTAATGTTAACAGTTATAAATTTAAATCTTACTCTATCTATTTTGTGGTCACTGTGTCAGGGGCACTGATGGTATGTAGAACTAGAGTCTCATAAAACAGAAAATATCTGTCACAATTCCTGGTAATGATGGTGTTATATTTGGCCCACGAACAATTAAGTAAACAATACATGCAATAGACCTCCTAGACAAGCTGGTATCAACAAAAATCTGAAAAAAAACTGATTATTTGTAGTGAGTACGTAGCTGACCAGCTTAATAGAGGAACAGGAGGTCACATGGGGGTAGAACAACAGCTCAGAAGAACTGGAGCAGTATACAATGTCTGGTACAATGAGAAGGCAGAGTACAGAAAGTGAGAGAATATCGGAGGACATAACAGGAGGAGTCTGGTAAAGTCAAAGTGTGGTTAATTAGAGCAGGTTTGATAACCTATCAATCGATCCGAGTACAAGTTACAGTACAGTAAGGGTTGATCTGGTAAGAAGTCAGCAAGGTTGGAGCATGAAGGGATGATCTGTAATTGTACTCAGGATATTGGAGCCAAGGTCAGAAGGCAGAAGTGAGCAAAGGTAACGGACAGGTCACTTAGAGCACACACTAACTGAAGCTGGAAAGAATGTTGATACACACATGCAATTCAAACTAGGGAGTAGAGCCCAATTACCTTCTCTGCTGCTTCAAGGCCAGTTTCATCATTGCACCCAAAGTTTCATATACCGTTATGGGGAAAAGAAAGAACACCCTCTTTGAATTCTATGGTTTTACATATCAGGACATATTAACAAGCATCTGTTCCTTAGCCAGTCTTACGATTAGGTAAATCTCTCTGCCCCTGTCCGTCTGCTATCTGAAATGCAAGGTAAGGTAAGGCATTGGTGGCTTTTTTTTGCAAGCACTGTTCCTTAATCTTTATCTTGTATAAATACAAATGACTGGCATTACTCAACTATGAACAATAAGTGGACTAACACCTCACCAGCATGGTTTCTTGGTGTGCGGATACTTTACCCAAACTTTGTGTGTGCATGCCTAGAGCAGTAGTCGTCAACCTTTTAATACTTTCCGCCCACTTATGTATCTTTTTTGATGGTAAAATTTCCATAATGTCTACCAGTGCCACATTACCTAATTTTTTTAGCGCAAGTGTGAACATTTTTTAGAAAGGTGGTTTTTTTAAAATATGGACTTAAATTTATCTTTTTTTTTTATCTCTACTTTATGTTTATACATATATAATTAAAATTAAATGAATTTAAATATGCTTTTTCTATTTTCCCTTTTATTACAAACACCAACAATAATGCTGTATTAGGTGGCAATTATTGTGTCACCTTTTCCAGCATCTTACACTATCACGTCCCGTCAGTCCTGATCAGGAGTACAGCCGTGCATGCACTTCCTTTTAGCCACTGAGAGAGATTTCGCAAACAGAGGCGTTCACACAATGTGTGTTGGGCGTTTTTGTGAGATCTCTTTTGATGGCTGGAGGGAGGCGCTCACCTGTGCGGACCATGTGTTTGTGTTGAGCGGCAGCTTCCTGCCTCCTTCATAATGCTCCATTGTAAAGAGGTTCACACTCGTCTGTGTCCATATATGGGCAGTTACGTCACTGGAGCTTCCCCGGGCAGGTATAACAAAAAGCCGGAGTCCCGATAGGTAGCAATACAAAGACAGGAGAGAAACCATAACCCACTGCCTGCACCCTGGGCACCTCCAACTCCCACACCTGTACCCACCTGGCCAGTCATTATCTGCCACAGCTTACTATGAAAGCTTGAATCGCACACTAGTGGGCAGTAGGGACCAGGTTGACTACCACTGGACTAGAGGATGATAAAATGGACTGCACAGGATTTGGCAGGACAGTCGCTCTCTGGTGTCCTGCTTCAGGTTTGCACAAAGGCAATGTCCCCAATATGTACAGTGTGTTCACTTTGCATCATTATGCACACTTACCTTATGCAACGTATTCTTAGGGCATTTAGCTCATATCATTGTATTTCAACAGACTTCCATTTTATTATACACACACCTGAGATGGCAATGGGAAAAATAACCTTTTAGTTTTGCTAATAATGCATACTGCGTCAAAATTAGTTATAAAAAAAATAAATGAGTTGTTCCTCTAGAAATTAACAGAGAATATCTTGTTTATAATCTCAGTGTATTTGTGGTAGTTACAGCTCACAAATTACCAAAAGAATACCAATTCAAAGTTTAAATTTGTCAAAATTAAGCGTGCGTTAAAAGCTTAGAAACACACCCGCCCTCATAACAACTTAAAGGGACAATCAGAGTCACTAGCAGCTTTAAAGGGAAACTCAAGGCTATTACAGGCTGAACTATAAACTGTTTGCATACATTTGATAAGGAATCCTTTCTGGAGTAAGTGAGCAAGGAGGGCACAGGCTTCTGGTGGTGCATTCTGAAAAACTTTATTTTTGTGCACAACTATAAAGATTTCTGATTGTAACAAATACAGCATATTATTGAATCCAAAACCAAAAGCATAAAAGTTGTACTGGTGTCCAGCGTGTCCCTTTAAACATATTGAAGCTGTTATTGGGGGCAGGTCTTTTTACCTTCAGGAAGTAAACTATTTGTGAATGGTTTAACCCTGAAGTAAGAGTCCTGTGCAACTGCCTCATGTTCATCTCTGCTGTGCAATATAAAAGAAGGAATAGCCGGACAGCCACCTTTAGGCTGAGTTAAGCCTTCACTGCATCTGTGTATATTAAGTATAAATGTGTAATTATCTGCACCAAAGAAACACTTTAGTGTTAGAAATACAAAGATGTATTTAGATGTATCTAAAGTGTCTGTTTGCCCCCGAGGTTTCTCTGCGTTGGGTTGCATTCTTGCTCCGCTGATGGGGAGGACCTATTGCGCATTCATGGTGAATGCTGCATGCACATTAGGCCTCCCCATAGAAAAGCATTAAATCAATGCTTTCCTATGGGGTTTTGCTTCATGCAAAGTGTAAGGTAGTCCAGCATTAAACTTCATGAAATGCCTCTAGTGATTGATACACAGCCATCAGAGGCAGTCTTAGCAATGCAATGTTTCACATTGCAAGGCTAAAGGGGACAGGGACACTTCACCAAGACCACTTCAATGACGTAAAGTGGTCAGGATGCCTATCATGTCCCTTTAATGTGTGTTTCTGTCTGTGGGGAATATTTCATTAGGATTACAGGCTTGTTTTAGGCAGTTAATAGATATTTCACACACCATTAAAAGCAAACTGTAATTTCACTGAACTTGTTCAAAAGAACAAATTGTGCTTTTTAAATGCATATTATATGCCAAGCTGTCGAGGTAAACAGGGCATTAATTAATTTTAATCCCTGTGCGATAAGTGTGATTTAACTTATTAAAGGAATTCGATAAAAATCTGTATTCCTTACACTATAGAGCCCTCTGGTCCCCTGCCCATCACACCCCCCACTCCTCCACAAGCAGCTAAAGGGTAAAAAAAATGTATTTATTAATTTACACAATTTCATCGCCGATGTCCCTCAGTGATGGGTTGGCGCTGAGTCTCCTCCTACATCATCCAACAGGGGGACGGAGGCTAATGTGCCTGAGCGTCGAGAGCTGCAAAACGCTTTAGGCCCTTCCCATAGGAAAGCATTTTTTCAATGCTTTCCTATGGGGATATAGCTGACGCTAGATGTCCTCATGCAGAAAGTGAGAACGCCCAGCGTCAGGAGACCTAAAAGTCAGTTAGCAAGCAGGAAGTGCCTCTAGTGGCTGTCTAATTGACAATCACAGGAGCAATCTTAGTCCTGCAATATAATTACTGTAGTTTCTCAGAAGTGGGACTTGGAATGCACCGAGACCACTTTAATGACATGAAGTAGTCTGGGTGACTATAATGTCTGTCTAACTTTGGTGCACTCTTCACTTAAATAAACAATACAGCAGCATTTACTGGGGCAAGGAAACTGGGAACTTTCATTCTTGTCTCTCTTCATCCTTGCATTTTATTTCTTAAACCTTTTCCCACTAGTTTCCCTCTAGTGTGGCTAAAGGGACTCTATAGTCACCAAGACAACTTCATCTCATTGAAGAGGTCTGGATGCACTATACCTGTCCCCTTAACCTTACAGTCTAATACATTTCAGTTTCATAGAAACTACAATGTTTATATTGCAGAGTTAAGTCTGCCTCTAATGGCTGTCTACTCGACAGCCACTTGAGGCGCTTCCTGCTGTTTCACTGAGTTTGACTATGCATGCAGACATCCAATCTCCCATAGATAAATATTGATTAAATGGTGCTGGGGACAACGACAAAGAAACAACAAAGTGTTCCTTTAAATGGAATAGTGTCCATGTGTATCAGTTCTCTATGCCCAGACATTCTGTCAATTTAATAAAAATAAAACCTGTTAACATCACCCCTTCAAAGTTAAGCTGCAACTAGTAAAGCTATACATATAAAATACACCTGTACACGGTATATATCAAAATGTAGATAGTTATCGCAAAGCACAACAGGTTTAGCATCCAACACCACTTGTTAGTTGAGCTGTAGTTTTGGAAGAGAAACTACAGGTTCAATTTGCACAGAAGCAGTGAGGTCTGTATTGGCAGACACTTCTGGCACATACATTACATTTCTCAATGAGGAGCCCTAGCCAAGAACTCCGGGTGCCCAGATTGGAACAAAAAACACGGGTAAGTCAGACGCAAGACCTTATGCATGCTGGCAAGTAACAGTGTTTACAAGCAATATGTTCTCCAGTTCACGGCATCCATATCACTCTAGAGGTAATACTAACTTAAAGAGTAAAGCCTTGTTTTGCTTTTTGAAAGGATGTAATGGTTCTTCACTTCTGCACAGCTTTGGAAATTTTAAAAAAAGTGACATATAACCTACACAATTTTAAGAGAAATTAAACATACAGATCCTGATACACGTAGCCCCATAAATATTTTTTTTCTTCCACAATATGCTCGGTTTTCTTTTATAGGACCCCTGGCTCTGTTCTTTAAACTCTGCAATGCAAAACATTGCAGTCTTCTTCCGTGGCACTGAGCAAATAAAACTCACTTGTCACTTGATGTGGAAGCCCCACAGGAAAGCATTCATCCAAACTTTTCCTATGGTGGAAGCTTGAATGACTGTGCATGCACATCAAGTCCCCAATGCTCCTCTATAAGGAGCATGGTACTGAGCTATTGTGGAAGAGGCATGACGTGGCAGGAAGAGAAGAGGTAAGCAGTGCTAAGGGAATCTAGAAAAAAGGTAAGTAAAAAGCGTTTTTCTTTTTTGTAATGTTTATTGGAAAAAAGGGGGGGTACCTCTGTAACTGAATCAATGCCTTACTTTGCAGCATGTGCATTAGGTGAACAGGTTTTACATGGTGCAGCAGAAGCACCTCTAGTGCCCATTTAACCCTGCAAGGTAAACCAGTTTCTCAAAAACATTACTTCTTTTCTGGTCTACTTCTCTTTAAAAACATAAGACACCGTAGCCACGGCTTTGTCTTATGTATTTTTCCTATGCTTGACAATTTTGACAACAGGTGGAGCTTAAGCCACTATCTTGAAAAAGGAGGTGGAGCTTGTCTTAAGCTCCACACTTTGTCAAGATTGTCAAGCTTAGGGTATAATACAAAAGAAAGCCGTGGCTACTGTGTCTTATGTTTTAACCCCATTCCATTCTTGCTCCATACATCCCCCTCCCTTTACCACAGATACTTACTATTTGTATACAATACGCAGATTTCAACCTAAAAATTAACTCACGAATATAAAAGCAACCCCCCCCACACCAGACTTAATATTGAGAGTCTCATGCTTACACCTACCCAAGAGCAAAATTCTTTATGGGACAAAACCATCATGCACATTTTAATAGTGCTACTAGTTGGCACACACACACCAGTACTTCATCGAACTCTTGTATTTGTACAATACATATGAAACCACCTTTGGAAGACTCCACTTGTTACTTGCAATGTTGAATTAGTACCATGCACTTGCATTGATTGTTGTACCTTGCTTCCTATATGTATTCATTGGAATGTCACTTTTTACTATACATAAATGGATAGAATAAAAAAATATAAATAAAATCTAAAAAACTGTGATAAAAATGAAAAAAAAAGTGTTATTTGCCAAGTTCTGCATGACATTTTAACTGTGAATATCATAATACTGTTTGCTTTTACTGCAATTAAACACACATTTGTGTTCAGCGATGTCTCATGAGAACAACAGTACCCCCCCGTACAGATTTTATGGGGTTTTGTAAAGTTACAGGGTCAAATACAGGGCTTTCCCCCTTTTCAGTTTTTACACATTGAAATTTACTAGATTGGTTTGCTGGGTCTATGTTGAATTTGAGAACGTATGGCAGTCCAGGAATGAAAATTACCCACATCATGGCATACCATTTGCAAAAGTATACAACCCAGGGTATTCAAATGGGTTATGTCCAGTCTTTTTTAGTAGCCACATAGTCACAAACCCTGACCAAAGTTAGCATTCATATGTTTTTTGCATTTTTCACAAAAAAAAACCCTGCCATTTTACTGATATCATCAGCATAATACGTTTTACTGCTCTAATACACTAAATTGTGTTCATGGATGTCTCACAAGTAGAACAGTAACCCCCCCACGTCCAGGTTTTATGCTGTTTTGTAAAGATACAGAGGAACTATAGTTTCCCTTTAAATACACCTTTAGTGGCTGTCTTCCAACATTGCACTGGACAAATGCCTGGGTTGCAACTCCTCCCACAATGAGTAGGCAGAGCGGCAGCAGATCCAATGGAGTCTCAGCACTGGAGAAAAGAGGGGGAAGGACTTGTCTAAAAAGGGACAGGGTCACTATAGCATTAGTAATGCAGGTTTGTATTCCTAATGCTATAATTTTCCTTTAAGGTCATATGGTCCAGACTGTATGTGGGGAATATCAGTTTCCAAAAAGAGATAGAGATATATATATATATATATATATACACACACACACACACACACACACACACATATACACATACATACATACACACACACACACACACACACACAATATACTTTAGTATAAATCCAATGCATTTCATTGGCATTTTAAATTATGGCTTAAATAGTTCTATGAGCATGTGAAAAAAGGAAAAGAAAAAGTCACTGTAGCTGGCACAAAAAAAAAGGGTACTATTTGGTCTTATAGTTAAGTAACATTTTGCAGTAGAATTCATGTTAGCATCTTTACACAAATATAATAATATAACACTGGAATATGTGTTTCTTCTAAACTGATGCTCATTTTGACTTCCTTGTAGGAAACTCTTTTCTTCCCTTTCCACCAAAGCCACGAATACTCTGAATCTTCTGTAACTGCTCTTCAATAGTTCGGATGATATCTACTTCCTCTGGAATGTGTACGTAACGTACATTGCGCCCTGTAACAAACAGATCATCCAGCTTGGCCTCTTTCCCTTGTCGGTCCTTATAGGTTACGTTAGCCAATCGAATGTTCATGAAAGCATCCACATTGGTGATTGTACCTCTGGCTGTGCTTTCATCTCTGAGATCAACAGTGGTGACATATCCGTGAAGTCCCTGAAGAAGTATGACCATGCTGTTTTCTGCTATTGTCCTCTCCTTCACGGAATGGAAAACTTCCATTTTGGCAACAGGAAACCTCACAAAGGCGTTTCAACCTATTATCACAAAAAGAGGAGGGAGAGAGAGAGTTTGTAAAGTAAACTGTGGCTGAAAGTTTTTTTTAAAATATCTGCTATTTAAAACAAACTCTACAGCTAGAATAAGTTGCCAGAAACTTCCTAGATTGGGCAGAACTCGTTGCAGGAAGCTCTAAATTCTGATGAATTAAATCAAAAGCAATATAGATATATTATTTTTGTTCATATTAGAGCGCAATATGACCTGAGATGTCCCTTTACATCACATAACTACAGCGACTTGTTTTAAATTCACATTCAAAATGCTTTGTTAACATGAAAAAAAATAATCTTTCATGAATGTTCATTTCCAAGAACTACCGAATATCAGAGCAATACACCCAGGAATCCAATCTGCCATGTTCTATAATAATAACAGCAGCTGTCAATTAATCAGATAGAGGCTGCTAGCAGGACAAGCTGTACTGCCTTCACTTCCTGCACCATGTGATGTATCACTAGCTATAATACATGGAACATTACGGTTTGCTAGCAGGGAATGAAGGAATGCTCAGGGCTTAGCACACTTCTGGGTCACACACTAGTCTCGGTGTATCCTGCCCCGGTGGAGCGGTACACGCCGCCATGCTTCCCTAGCCCCATAACACAGCACTCACCTCCGCCCTCGGAACTATTTCCCACCTAGAGGCGCTGTGATGGCACTATCGTCACGTGACTACAGAGACCACGTGGTACCGAATATTAAAGGCGACAGAGGGCGGGAAACTCAAATCAATGAGAGCGAGCTGTGAATGCACAAAGTGCTGCAGGGTGACTGCACATATAAAATATTTTTTAATATACTAGAGGGCCCATAATAAAATAATCGTCTGCATTCATCATGCATGCTTAAAGGGACTCTATTATGTAATACAATTCTGTATTCCTATCACTATAGTGCCCTTTGGGGGACGCTATAACCTTGGTGCTGGATAGATGCTCCGCCTTCGTCATCCCACAGGGAAAGTTAATGTGTATGTGAGGTGGGCGCATTTAATGGATGCTGGATGTCCTCATGCAGAGCGTGAGGACTTCCAGCAACGTTTAAAGGAGGTAAACTCCATTAGAATTCAGGAAGTGTTTAGTGGCTGTTTCATAGACAGCTATTAGAGGCATTCTTAGACCTGCAATGTAATCATAGTTTCTCAAGACCTGAAATGTTTTATATTGCAGGACTAAGGGGGACAGGGACACTGCACCACTGAAACTCAAACATGAGGCCCCCACTAAAACTCATAGTAAAGAAATATATAGGGGTTGCTTCGTGTGTTTCAGACAAACTGCTATGTTTTCACTGAGGGTTAATCCAGCCTCTAGTGGCTGTCTCGCGGAGTGGGAAGACGCCAACGTCCATAGGAAAGCATTGAGTAATATGGGCGGTTTGAATGTGCACGTGGCTCTTGCTGCGCATGCGCATTCGGCGCTGACGTCGGCAGGAGAAGGAGAGGTCACCAGCGCTGGAGAAAGGTAAGTGGCTGACGGGGTTTTAACTCTTTCACCCAGCAGGAGGGGGGCCATGAGGGTGGGGGGACCTAAGGACCACATAGTTCCAGGAAAGCAAGTTTGTTTTCCTGGCACTATAGTGGTCCTTTAAAGGCGGGCGTGCGTGCACCGCTGGATTCTTTTATTCATTATTCAAAGACTTGCATTGTCACGGCTCCCTGTGCCACTCTGTTGTGAGCTCTCTGACTGTAGTTATGGCATAATTTGCAAACAATTAATTTGCAGTGATGCTGATTGTTTATACATGATTGCCGTGTACGGCTGCATAGCCTGGCAGTCATGTATACAGAAGTGCCTGTGTGCAGGGGTTATTGCAAACAGAAATTAAAATTTTGATTGAGTAAAAAAAAAGCTATTAAAAATAATCACCTACAAAATAATAAAAATACAGATAAAAAAACTTACATAGACATTTCTCCCACACATTCTTATAATCCTTTAGCATTCCTTGTTTGTGAATAGATGTCTTTGTGAGCATGTGTATATTTTTTTATGGAACTGCATGTGTATGGGGTAGCTGACTGCTGAAAGGATTAGAGGCGTTAATGTGATAGGTTGAGTGTAGATGAGCAAGGACAGGTAATTGTGGTAGGGGGTGAGAGCGACAAGATTAGGAGAGGTTAATATTAGTGTGGGTGGGTGAAGGGGGCATGACAGCATGTGGGAGAATGACAGTGTGTGTGTTGAAGGGTGACAGTGTGGGGGTTGACTGTATGTGTGTGAAATAGTGACAGTGGGTAGGTGAGAATATGTGGGGAAGTGTTTGTAGGGTGCCAGTGTGTGCAGGGGCAGTGTGTGGGAGTGGTGACAGTTTGTGTGTTGGTTACAGTGTGGGGGGCAGTGTTTGGGAGAGGTGACTGTATGTATCGGTGACAGTGTTGGGGACTGACAATATGGGGGGGCGGCAGTGTGGAGGAAGGTGGGAGTTTGGGGGGTAGGGTGTGGGTGAGTGACAGTGTGGAGGAAAGTAACAGAGTCGGGGGCAGTGTAGATGAAGGTGACAGGGTGGAGGAAGGTGGCAGTGTGGGGGGAGTGTGGAGGGTGTGTGACAGTATGGGGGGCAGTTTATGTGACAGGATGTGTGACAGTGTGGGGAGCAGGGTGTATGACAGTGTGGGGTACAGGATGCATGACAGTGTGGGGGCTGGGTGTATGACAGTGTGGGGGGCAGGGTGTGGGGGTGGGGCAGGGTGTGGGGGGACAGGGTATGTGGAGGTCAATGTGGGGGGCAGTGTGGGCGGGCAGAGTATGTGGAGGTCAGTGGGGGAGCAAGGTATGTGGGGGGCAGGGTACGTGGGGGGCAAGGAGTGTGGAGGCTGTGACAAGCCTCCACACACTGAAATACCTTTTTTATATAAGTCAATGGTGGTCTGGAGGGATAACTATCCTGTCTGCAGCTCTGCCGTGCAGAGCTGAAGACCTCGTTCTCACGAGCTCCGGTCAGAGCATTGTCGTGGTAACCCGCAGCAATGCTCTGTGAGCTTGCAAGAACCAAATCACATGGCACCCGGCAGAGCTGCAGATCTAAAGCTTGGCTCTCTCTGGGCAGACCATGTGGAGGGGACTTGTACCCGGCGGCATACTGGGCAAGCCACCAGGCCCTCGATCCGAGGACCCGACAGTTCAGTCTGCACTAAGGTGATTTAGGCGGCCGCAAGGCCTCAGCAAGTGCAAGGCCTTAGGCGGCCGCCTAAATCGCTTAATTAGAGAGCCGCCTCTGCTGCTAAAGTCACCCAGACCAATTAATCTCAATTAAGTGGTCTGGGTGTAATGTAAAATATTGCAGTTTTAGAGAATGTTTACATTGCAGGGACACTATAGGCACCCAGACCACTTCAGCTCTTTGAAGTGGTCTGGGTGCAGTATCCCAGGCACCTTACCCATGCAAATTTAATTATTGCAGTCTTTGATAAACTGCAATCGCTACATTACAGGGTTAACCCCCCCCTTTAGTGGCAGTCTGGATTATAAGCCTGACCTAGTGCAGAGGGATATTGGCACAGGAATCAGGTAAGTGACAAAAGGGTTTTTAACTTTGTATTCCTAGCAGTATACTTCCTTTTAACGACAAAGGGCATAATGACTATCCTAACGTCTGTGCCCCTGTAGCCCCCTGCTGATATTCTCACCTTGATGGATCTGATCGGGGCAACACAAGCAATCCCCCAACAGCCAATCAGTTGCGATTGGAGTCACGTGATTGCGATGACAGCCTGTCACTGCAAGCAATGATACAATGTCAAAATCAATTAATTTTATAATGGGCGTAGACATTATATTCTGCCTCTCTCTTCCATCACTTTGTTCTGAGGTGAGAGAGGCAAAGAGATCACTGTTACAGTGTCACAAACTGGTAAAAGATTACTGTAACCCTTATTCAATAATTATTTTTTTAAAGTTCAAATTCCCTATTGAGCATTACTATTGGATTGCCCCTGTTTAAGCTTGCAATAAAAGGTTTTTAGCTTCAGCACTGACCTCTGTCTGACATCACTGGGGGCCTACTCCGTCCAATCACAAGCTTCTCATAGAGAAACCTGTGACTGGACTGTTTCGCCATCTCTGAGCATGTGTGTGTGCTCTAAGCTGGTAAGGGGAGGGAGTGGGTGGTGAACATGGGAGAAGATTTAAAAAAATAAATAATTCAAAGCTAAATGCTGGAAAGCTAGGAGTGCCTATTAAATGAAGAAAGGTAGAACAACAGCTATGCACGTCTGTCCCCCGAGGGCAGTGCTTGCTGACAACAGACGTTATTTATGTTCAGAATTAACATTAGGCAGCCTGGAACAGAGTGCCAATAAGTAATAACTCAATATATGCAGTGTTTCAAGTTGGCAATTAAACAGGATATTTACAATTTATTTCGAGATAAGCAATAAGCTATTCGATGCAGACATTGCAGTAGTTAAAACAGAGATCCAGGCAGTCACTGGTCGGGTCAGACCCTCTGAAGAGAACATTATAGATATATACGGGAAGGCATGTCTTCTTTGAAGACTCTCTTCAAAACCTACACAACTCTCACAGCAATCTAAATTTACAGGTGGCAATCCTGGAAAACAAAATCAGATGCTGCACCTGCATTAGTTTCTTGTGATGTCATTACCAGCTGCTTATCCTTCCAAGATAAAAGGTACATCATGACGGCTTTGCAAGGCAAAAAAAGTATGCATTTGAACTGCCACGGATCACTATCTTCCAAGACCTCACCAGAGCTACATTCAAATGGCAGAGATCCCTTCACACTATCACAAGCCGTATCGCCCCGCTACAGTCTGTAATGAATGCCGTCGCCAGACTGATTTTCCTCTCTAGTCGGTCCTCTCATGCCTCACCCCTCTGTCAGTCCTTACATTGGCTTCCTGTATCCTATAGGAGTGAATTCAAAGTGCTAACCCATACCTATAAAGCACTGAGTAATTCTAGCCCCTCATATCTCTTCACAGATCCATAGGTATGCCCCTCCTCGTTCCCTCCGCTCTGCCCGTGACCACCTCCTGACCGCTGCTCGCACCCGTACGGCCAACTCGCGCATGCAGGACTTAAAACCCATCTCTTTAGGAAAACGTATGGCCTCCCAGAGTAACCTCTACCTTACACACCTGTCTCTTGCCCTCTCCTATAGGGCAGCACTTTACTCTCTCCTCCAGCTCTGCTTCACTCCCACCTTATTTGATGGATATTTCCTGTCCTAATGTGTTTTATACCCCACCTCCTCTAGTCTGTAAGCTCATTTGAGCAGGGTCCTCTTCAACCTATTGTTCCTGTAAGTTTTCTTGTAATTGTTCTATTTATAGTTGTGACGGAACGCTGGCACTCCGACTGAGTACCTCCGCCAATCGATGCTCCTAGTGCTCGCTGAGGACTCCAAGCACTCCAGCTGACACCATCAGCACTGCAGACCCCACTTCCAGCGATGCAACTGCGCCGGGGTCTCTGCTGTTTCCACCCACCCTGGACCCAAGGCCAGGATCCAGCTTCCAGTGGGTGAACCTCTCTTTCCCCAGAGAGCAGGAACAGGAACAAATCAAGCTATTGCAAGAGCTTCCTCTGGGGAGTAAGTGATTATAGCAATCCCCAGAGTGTAGGTATCCCTTCCCCCAAACATGAGCCAAGGCTTAATGCTGGAACAAGACTGATTTACTGGCACACAGAACTCA